CATGTGTACAGTTGTTGGCTCAGTCATTTGTAAATACATTTTAAAAGATGCATTAGAGACATGGATCAAGAGAGGAAGGAGGCCCACAGAGATAGCTTATAGGGCCCAGAGTTTTGTGCTACGCCACTGAGTGGATGTAGTTCTTCTAAATTATATATATATATATATAAATAACTTAATATATATTCACAATTGATGTGCATGTAAAATTAGAAATAACCAATATGGTGAAGAGTATTCATTTTGACCAAACTACTGCTGTTTTGCATTGAAGGCATTTAAAGTAATTGAAATAAAGTACATATATTTTTGTTCTTTTTATCAAACACTGTTGATTGAGATGAGAAAGTGATCGCTGAATCATGGCTGATTAAAAAAAAAAAACAGCCATGTAAAGTATACTAATGCCACGATGTAGAAACAGAAACCATCTGTCACCCAGCTTTCATAAGTATGCCAACTCCCACAAGCGGGATTTCCAGACCAAGGCGCTTGTGTTTATCTGATAAGCATCCACAAATTGTCACTAGCAAGCTGTTAAACCGGAGGGGTTTGGTCCTATCTAATCTACAATCCTCACAAATTGGATTCACACCTTGTACGTAATTCAGAGGTGTTAAGCAGGTGGTCTGGGAGTCAGGATGCACATTAGAGGTGACACCTGTCACCTTTAATTTAGGTCAACAAGTGTTTACAGCAGCCACACACTGCCTTTGAAGTTCAAAGACCTAAGGTTGCCTCCGAAGGCAGAGACTGAAGGTCAAATATAGTCAACCATGATTTTTGATGATGAGATTTGTCTTTACAGGGAGCACTATAAGTGCATCTAATAAATCCCAATAATATATAATTGAGTTATTATTGAATTATTGATACAAAAATGTGAACATCACTTTAATGCTGTAACTACCACTAACTATTTTTCACAATTGCTTACTACAAAGCTTGTGAAATCACCCTCAAGGGATCAATAATGTATTCTTTTCAACTTTTTATAATTAAAGAATGTTTAATTTCATTACAAACACAACAACAAATATACATTAAAACAGACACAACATGTATGTATATATATATAAACATTTCAACATGTAATGTAGCTACTTGCATCCACATCGTTTTTCCCAATAGTTTCCAAAACATGTTTTCTGTATAATGGTATTTAAACTTTGCCAAGCCACACTACATTGTTCAATAATGTGTTTAAATAGTCCTGAAAACCTCTATCTTTACTAGAGCGGATAAAGGCAAAAGCTTTTCCTTGTTCAGATACCCACCCTGCCACCTGCTGCCAAAAGGATGCAACAACCATACAATAATACATGTAAAATGTTCTCCTCTGCTTCAGGCACTAAAAATACAGAAATAGTACACATCAAAGTTGACTTTACAATGTGCCAATTGTTTATAATGCAGAAGTGACAAACATCAATAAAGCTGGGTTTTTATCCATAATAATATATCAGTTTATTTGTTGATGACATTTTCTATAAAACCACTTGGTGAGTAACTAATGCTGTGTGAAACAAATCAGAACATGGACAATCTTATTAAATGATATGTGTTGGTTTGTTATACACACAAAGGCCCATCCACACCCACCCACCTGAGGTTCAATAAACAATGAAACAGCAAGCCAAGTATTCTTCAATCATCAAAACTACAACAGCAATTATTCTTAAAATGTTCATTAAAATATAGCTTTTACATGGTTGAAAGAGTTGTTTTAAGTTTATGTGGGACATCTGACACCAAGAACATGTGAGACCTGAGCTCTAAATGAGATGTATACAGAAGCTTTGAGATACTCATAAGCCCAATGCAGGGGAGATGTCTAAAGCCTAGATCAAAAAGGTGCTTGCCTCGTGCGTAAGGTCACATTGACAGGTAATTGGGATTAGCTTTCTGCTTCACAGCTATGCAAGTACTTAACACACTCCTGTGCAGGTTAAGTGTTGAAACTGTAACAGGAAGTTCTGTACCTGTGCCAAACAGAAACACTAGCGAATCTGTTCGTAGGTCAGGAAAACACATTATGTGACTGGCCTGGAACAAATTGTACAACATTAGTGTCAATCAATTAACACAAACATATGTTACCAAGCACACTGATTGCATGGTGTGTATTTGTTATTCTGCAAATACATCTATGTGAGTCTACTGCATTGACTGTAGGAGCTTTAAAGTTAACTTGATTGCACTTATTTGTAGTGAAATGCCTAAATCTTGTATCTTTTAAAACAGTATCTGAAAATGTACATGGAGTGTTTTGTGTTAGAATTTCTGTTGAAGAAAGCTAAAGTACAATATGAAGCTAGTTTCAGAATAATGAAACACTGTCCATAAAGTTGTACAGAAACATACATTCAAAGAGACTGGGGCCGTTTCTCAATCGCGAGTACACATGCTGCAGAGCAACTATTTCAAGTATACTACGTCATAGAGTGGCGCAGAATGCTGGGCATTTAACATGAATTTAAACGATTTAAACAGTCCTTTGGCGCCACTCGATGACGTAGTATACTTGAAGTAGTTGCTCTGCAGCAGTTTTACTCGCGATTGAGAAACGGCCAGGGATTCAAATGTGTGGAGGATATTGGGTTGAAAGGGAAGTTAATATGACAAAAAATGTATGGAATACTCCCTGAAGAGTAGGCACTGTAATAGCCTCTAAAACACTAGTAAAAAGACAGAGACTGAATACAGAAATAGTCACCAATTGGAACTTCAAAACATTTTTAAAGTAAGATAATGGTTGTTTGGTTTGATAGATGTTGCTTGTTGTTGTTTTTCCTTCACATGACAGTAACATAAAATAGGGTAAAAGGCCTATGAGGACGCTAAAAGATCAAGGCAGATACCCGCATGATAGACAGGAACACAGGAAGACTATGAGCCTATAATACAGTTCTTGGATGAAATTGTGTTTGAATATTAAAAACATGGATTTACTGCTAAACTCCTGCTAGGGTTTTGTTACAGAGGGATGTACATTAAAACAGGTGAATACTTTAGCATGCTGATGAAATACTCAAGATCTGTGCTCTTTCTAATCTTTGACCTCCAGAGTGGCTCAGATACTCGTGTGCGCCAAAGGATTAACATGTAATTCTCCTCCACCAACAAACGCATAGACATTACATCCAATAATACCAAAACCAACCAAATACACTTTCTAAAAGTATTTCCATATTGGTACATGTTGTTGTTGTTGCAGTGATGCATTTTCAAATGAATCGGTTCTGACTGATCTGCTGTTTGCCTTATATTTTGTCCATGAGTATAGTTTATACAAGGACGACTATTTGCATTACTGAAGCGCCCTCATGTGGTCAGTTTTATACTCCTCAGCACAGTGTTAATCTCAGCAAATAGTGGTGCACACATGATAGTATTTAATTAGTTAACCTTAATTCAATTAAAACTAACGCAAAAGCCCTGCATTAACAGTAAGTAAGTGTATACGATATAAACACGTATTATGTATTTACAACTAATAATAGTGTGCACATGCAGGCAGTCATGCAAAGGTAAATGCAATGAACCAAGACTGAATGTTTGCATGTGTTGCTGAAACCTCTCTGGTGGTTAATTTGATATAGCTCATGGTTCAATAAAAGGATATTAAATTATGTTTATTTTTGTTCTGTTGTATAGGGTGTAAAAGCATTATTGTTATTACTATGTTTGTCACTAAACATGTATTCATGTTGGTTATTGGTTTTACAAGTAAACACATATACATGACCAGTTAATAAAGGTCCTATGGCCATCCAAGACCGTCTCATGTGAAAGTAATTAAAATAAAATAAACATCAGCACCACCTGGCGGCCAAACCATGGAATAGAAGATGACCTGTGTGATCTGTGTCAGATCTGTTATTCTTAGTATTTAGAGGTGGACGCTCAGAAACTCATAAAGTTGTTGTTATATAATTTATTTATAATGTACAATATACTTAAAAATGTCTTGGTACATAATTTGAGTTTTAGGAAAATTACACTTTTTGAAATATGGTGTGTTGAGGGTATAGTGGGAAAGAACAAGTGGCATGATGAAGAACAGATTATGGCAATGAACTACTCACTTTTTATGTTTTACTTATTTTAGTAATTAGAAAGGTAAATCTACTGGTGTAAACATAAAATCCGGCAACAAGTTAAATGACATTGAAATGGGAGCCCTTTGGTGATCTTGTGTTTTCAATGTAAGACTTTTTCAACTTTAATCATTTGTAATGTAAAATATGACATGTCGGATACCCTCTATGCAAACACCTGATCATCTGATAGGGCAATAGATTGAGGAAATTCACTGAGGACTGTAGGTTTTTCTAGTTGTGGGGCTTTTTTCGTTTGACTTCTGAGCCTTAAGCCCTTCTTTGTGTTTATTGTAAATATAGAAAATAGAGAAACTCTCAAGCAAAGATTGGGGTATAATAATGCATTACCTTTTATTTATCAGGATTCTTTTTTTAAATCTGTTTGCAAAGGAATTAGTTGTGATGATAACAATTTAAAATAAAATCCCACATATAACCTACTTGCACTGTAATTACAGTCTGAAAGGGTTGTACTGAGGCTTTATGTTACTCTGTAATTTGATTGAGAAAAGCTCTGAACATGCAATGTGTTGAATTACAGCCTGTAGACCAAGTTTCACCCTCGGTTTCAGGTGTTTAAGGCACACAGGTGTGGTTTGTTATGCTGCATTACAACGATGCATTGTAAAGTGTTATGCTCACCTTACAGTACATTTGCAGTTATTACAGTTTTAAGTAAGTTTATCAGTAATTTACACACAGTCACATTTATTAAAACGCTCTCTTTGGCTTCTTCTGGTTTGTTCCTGAAAAGCCATATAGTGTGTGAATCTTTTAGTTATGTATTAAACACTCAAAAACTAGCATTCAAATAAAAAACTATTTAATAGAGTTTTAGTATTTAGTATCAATAAATTAAATGAGTTAAAAAAACATCTGTGACATAAATTCTGAAATATATTCTCTACACACACGCTACAGAAATGTGTTGAATAGGTATATTCACAGCCTGAAGAGAGACTCTACAACACTGTAATATGTTGGCATGACTTCTGACTTGTGGCAGAACATGGCTGACTTGTCAACGGTTTAGGATCCACACTCATCAGGATTATTGTTTAATTTCAGTACGTTATTCATGCAGTGTAGATGATGGAGTACCTCTGATTCGTTTCCCCTTTGTCGTCTGAACTTTCTGATTGGCTCAGTGTGTACAATCCTGTGAAAGTCTGAAAGGCTTCTTTATTTATTGCCTTCTTTAACGTTTCAGTAGGTAAGTCCTTAGCTGGAGTGCACAGAACTGTCAGTCTCTGGGGAGAAATAAATTACAGTTTACCATTAAAGTCTAAAGTATGTTAACTTTGGTAGAATAATAATTATAAAAGTATAATCACGTAAACCCATAAGAAAGAAAAAAGGCCAGTTAGGGCAAGGCATGTTATGGGTATAAAATCAAAACAAATACAATATAATACAATACATTACTTGTGACTTATTGCTGTAATTTTTTCATAACAAAATCAAATAGAAACATCTAGCTTTTTGACTTTTTTCCCAAACCACCACATTTGAACAATATGTGAATGCTATTAAAGGTAGGGTATGTACGTTTGAGAAACCGGCTCGAGATCGCTAGAATTTGAAAATACACGACCGGAGAAAATCTGCCACTTCCTTATAGAGCCCCTCCTCCAACACACACGAACGCGCACATGACCAATGAGGGCACGAGATAAGTTTGTGCACAGATGGAAGGCTGACAGGCAGGTAGGCCATCCAGTTATTTTAGCCGGGCCGGCTAAAATGATTGGTCTTACTTTTTACAGTACTACGGCTTCCACAGGTGAGATTTTTTTATGGATTTTTTGTCAAAGCACTTAAGATATTCATTGCTATCGGGATGTTAAGAGCATTCCATGGAATATAACAAAAAGTGCATCTCGAGACGGTTTCTCAAACGTACATACCCTACCTTTAAGTGAATAGTCACTAAATAGCAACTATAAGTTTGGGGCGTTCAACACAACTTATTTATCTACATGAATTTCACAATTGGTGAGATTTAGCTCCACATTTTCACAGATTCCCTTTCTTTCATGCAATAAAACCATATCAGCACCATCACAGGAGTCCTATTTTTGCCAGTACCTACTATTACTAATATTCTTTAAGCAGAACGAGTGTAAGCCAGATGTCATCGATAAGTACAATACAGTTTCTATGTCAATGTAAGGATAAAAATCGTTCCTCCATTAATCCAATTACTTAGTTACAGGGCCAGGGTCCAAGGGGCCCGAAATGATCATGTTACAGACTCGAAGTGAATGTTTTCAAAACTAATCCATACTTCATGTCAATTGGTTTTTATTTTAAAACTATTGTCTGATAAGTAACAGTAACATGACAGTAACGACGTGTGACAGTACCTGTCTCAGTGATCCTGGAGTGACACTCATAGCGTACACCATCCACAGAGGAACCATGAGCGTTGAAGAGAGCGTAAATAATCCTCCAATAGTGTAGCCCCACCAGGGGTATTCATAAGTGTTGTTGAATTTCAGCGGAGTATATTTGACCAAGGAGAAGATAAATGTGCACTTAAAAAAAACACAAGGCGAAAGAAGAGAAGGTAAAAAAACATAAAATAAATGTTTGTATGAAACACAGCAATTAAAATTCACAGTTGCCTATTGTTTATTTTACTTATTTTAAAACCTACAATGGAAACTGAGGTTCCTATTATTCAGAAGCTGGTGAATACACAGAGGCCCATGTATTTTGAACATTTATTCATGATGTAACTCATGTTTTGGTTTTCTTTCAGATTAATCTCAGAGTATAGACATTTGAAGTACATGAATATGTCGTCTCTTTAGCAGATGGTGACAGTTAAAGAGAACATATCTAAGATGTATTTAGATAGTCTTATAATTAAATATTTCATTAGGAAACAAAAGCCAGTGATGACAGAGATTACTTGAGCATTTAATTCAAACTGACATCAAAAGTCTTGAGTTGCAACTTGCAATACAGTATACCCCATCTAAAACTGGCCTCCATCTGGTCATGCACTGCTTTTAGGACAGAAGCCTCTGGCAGCTGTCAAATACATTTGCTTGTTAGCAAAGCATGAACAATGTTACAAGGCAGGCATTCCCTCATCTCCAATACTTACTACACAGATAGCTGGTGTGAAGTACTGCCAACAATATTTCATGTAGGACCATGGCCGATATCCAATCATGTCCTTTATATTATCATAATGGCGATCTGCACCTGATAAAAAATATATAGAAATGTTACTCATGTTGGATCAGTGTATATAACGCCCCTTAAATTTATTTGACATAGTTGGTTTGATAGGAAACTGTGGGATCCCAACTTCTATTAAACATCAGTTGAAAAAAAAAAGTGTTTCCAAAACATAAGGCTTGTGGGCTGTAGACCCCCTGAAATTAATCAATGACTATGTTGTTACAAAGAGGTTAACCACACCAGTAATGTTTTCCTGTGCAATTTATTTTCTCCTTCCTACACTCTCACTGTCTTTCAACCCCTCCTTACGCCTAGGTGTGGAACGACTGGATTAATAACTACTTGTCTGTAAAACATGAGATTATAAAAGTGCGATCCAACAGTGTGAGTTAAATGTTGTCCTTACCATAAACCCATCCAATACAGACAGACTGAAGAACAGCAAAAAGCAGGAGGGTCATCCCACTGCAGGCGTAGTAGTCAAACAGTTGAAAAATATAAAGGCCTCCCTGCAAAAGATAAGAGAGTCCTTCAGTGAAAGGCAAAGCGGGTGGTTATTGCATCATTCACACGTTTGTCTAATATGTTATTGTATTAGTATTTACCACATACAGCAGAAAACAACCCTTCATTATCCTCTGTTCACAGATCATGGATACAAACGGTTTCATTTATGTTATCTGCTCTTTTATTTTATGTCTACACACCTTCACACTTACAACTGCATTTATACAGTTATGTAAAGTAGATGTAGCGTTAATTTATTCAGGGAATCAAGATGAAAACGTTTTCACCACTGACCTCCGTCACCATCAGAAGGCCAATGAAGAAACTTCCAACAGAAATACCGAGAAGGAGAAGTTTACGACGACAGTTGTTTTGAAAGAAGTCTGGATACATGTCGGAGATGGTAGTGACCAATGCCTCTTGACATACGAACTAAGGTAAATAAAATATATGTATTAACACAAAAACATGTATTATAGTGTTTGAATCTCATTATTGAAAAAGATCTTTGTAATCCTACCTCACTATCTAATCCTAAGAAGATGATCATAACGAAGAAGAAAATAGCCCAGAGCTGGGGAAGTGGCATCAGGGCCACAGCCCGAGGATAAGCAATGAATGCCAACCCTGGACCTACACAGTGCATGGAAAAAAAGGCATATTTTCATAAATAATCTAAACGGTAACAATCTGAGTTTCTGTCAAGAGTCATCCATCCTCCATACCTGATTCAGCCACCATCGATATATCCACACCTTGCTCCTTTGCCATAAAACCGAGCACAGAAAAGATGGCAAAGCCAGCCACAAAGCTGGTTAAACTGTTTAAAAGGCACAGGTAGACACAGTCTCTATGGAGGAAATATGAAAACATTAGTAAACCTGCTCGAAAGGTCTAAACTGCAGTAGGAGCTGAATTACATTTTGAATTGAATGGACAGTGCAGATGAGAGAAATGCATACCTGTAGTAGGGCTGTGCAATTTAATCGATCCTGCGATATATATCGATATTTTGTTTCCCGAGAAAGTATCGATATTTCAGCCACGGGTATCGATACATTAACTCCCATTCAAATCCCCCGTGTTCCGCCTGGCACTCTGCTCGCTGCCCATTCCCCCCCGTTCGCTTTGCATGAAGAGCGGTTAAATCAGCCAGCCGAGCCGCTAGTGTCGCGTAGAGCATTTCTAGATACACAGACGCCGGTGTCTTCTTCTCGCAGTGAGTGCGAAGCGGTTCAGGAGAATGGCGGCAAACATTAACCACACTGGAGAGGGTCTTCTCTACCGCCGGAGATATCGGTCCAATCCCAAACCACTCCCTCGACGGAGTGAACTCCGTCTGTAGCCACACTCGAAGCTCAACGAGGCTCCCTCCTGTCAGATGGAGGGAGTAAATACAGCAGCAAGCTTTGGGACGGCCTCCCCTCTCTCTGGCAGAAACAGGAAATACCGTAACTGTATGTAACAACGGTTTCAAATCAACATCTCTTAGACAAAAAGTTTAAATTAATAACTCAAATAAAACTCCTAACATCTTTCATTGTGTTTCAAAGCTCTTTTAGTTTTAAACCTGATGTTTATAAGCTTCTTAGTTTTTGCAACGGTCTGTAAATATACACAACTTTATAATAAAATGCACACATTTACCTTTTTCTAGACTAAACACAGGTATGATCCTAAGTTAAAACATATGAGGTTATCATGAGGTTGTTAACATCGCAGTTTATCAGTGGATGTTTGCTGGAACTACTTGTTAACAGCTTGACAGCAGCGGACACACACAGCGCGACTCCGGTCAGGTAGAGACCGGTCTCAAGTCAGCACCGCTGCAGACTCGCTGTTTGAGGGCTTGATAGCCCACTCCCCCTCCACACCGCTCCACACTCGTAGGCGGACCCTCCGCGTGAACGCGCAAACGCGAGGGGTAGGGTGTAGGGGGCGTTTGGGAATGGGCCATCGTCACTGCTCAGAGAAGTAGCACTTCTCCCAGACCACGTTGATCAGATTATATTCCTGTACAAAAATCTGAAGAGAATGTAGATGCAGTTATGTAGAGAGGAGCCTTTCTGTTTAGTGTTTTTGGCTTAAATGTTACTCCTTTGGACTTGAATTATTGGCAGGGTACATTTTACATTAAATGTTGTTCTTAGTGACTTGAATTATTGGCTACCTCATATTCTGTGTTAAGCTAAAAATGCTGTAAAAGAATCTGTTCAGAACAGGCCACCTGCTGCACCTTTTAATTCTCCATTGTCCATTGTGATACTGCACTTTATGTACTTACGTTTCAAAGGCTTGTAAACTACAGTTGGCACGGTTTCAATAAATGAAACAAATTTTCTCACCACATCTTTTGAGTCATTTTGTCCAGCATTTGCAAGCTGTAGACTCTCTGTCTAGTCAGAGCCATATATTGTATAATTGATGCTTTCAGTTTTCAGTTGAATTAATTCAATCCAAGTCAATGGAACACTCACAAGATGTCACCAAAATCACACTGTCCCTTTAAAATCTTTCAGAAAATGATGTAAGTGTATCGAATTATCGTATCGAATCGTATCGTTGGCTGAATATCGTGATATATATCGTATCGTGAGCTCAATATCGTGTATCGTATCGTATCGTGAGATTAGTGTATCGTTACAGCCCTAACCTGTAGCAGTTGTTACTGTACTTGTTGTAACTTCCTAAAGATGTCAGAACACCTGTGCAAACTCCATAGGAGTAGAAGACTTGGCTACCAGCATCCATCCATACCTAAAGGATATGGATTAGTTTGAAAAGATGCAAGAATGCAGAATCTTCTAAATGTTCACTGTGTACAGTGTAGTGTAATTTAATTGTTGCAAAATGTCTCTCTTGCACTACAATATATGCTCATAGATACTTCTAAAGTTAAGTTAGTCATTCAAAAAAGGGACTAGTAGTTGTTGTGGCTGTGACTAATTTAGCTTTTAGCAGACTCTCGGTCTTGTTTATGATCATATTCAGACATTGAAGCACTTGGTTAAGGTCAGGGAGAGGTCGTACCTCTGGATCAGCGAGGCGGGATGGGTCTGGGTAGAGGTAGAACACGATTCCTTCTTTGGCCCCTGGTAATGTGAGACCACGTACAAGTAGCACCACCAGCATTACATATGGAAATGTGGCAGTGAAGTAGACCACCTGAGACAGAACCAACACATCGTCTGTTACTTTTAAATATTACATATTTTAAGAACAGGCTATAAATGAGATCAGACATTAAAGATTTAATTTTAAGATTGTACTGTACCTTTCCTGTGGACTTCACTCCATTCCAGACACAGAAATAACACAACACCCAGGCAAGAAGTAGACAGAGGGCCAGGTCCCATCTGACATTACCGATTTCATCAATTCCCCTGGACAGGCCTAAGATTCTCCTCCTGTAACAAAGTGTATTCATAAAAATAAAGAACACAATTGCCCTTTTATGATGTTTTTATTTATGCTACTTACTCCCAAAACTCTACAACGGAAGACGTGCTTTGTCCTAACTGGTGCAGAGAGGATGTTTGATTGTGACCATGCTCAGAACAGGCATCTTAAAATGAAGGAATAAGATGGATTGTGAAAACTGATAAAGGAAGTAGATTATTTACACAGTTGTATGTGTCATATCTGGAAATAAAGTTGTGATACCTGTGTTCCAGCTGTTTTGACAGCTCGCCCATGGAAGCTCAGATGTGAAGGATGAAAACAGGTAGAGAAACGCCCAAGCCAGGATGATTATGTAATACACCCCAGTGTACAAAACAACCACTTGACTTCCATAACCTAAGCCTGCAGAGAGAGACGTGTTATTGTGATATCATGAAAAATCACTCAAGTAAAAATAAGAGGTAGGTGTACTTTACAATATTTCCAATGTTTTCTAATTCATATTTTTAAAATTTGAATAGAAAATCTAATATTGCGCTTTTGAATTCAATCTATTTGTTTAAGTAAGATGTTGCATTCTAATAAAGTATCAATTGACTTTATCCAGTCTTGAAGACAAGAAAAACAATGTCCTTCAAACTGCATTCATATGCAACAATATTCATTAGAAGTTAGTCATTATGCTGTTGCTTTTCTTATTCTCAAAGCTAATAAAATCTCGCTACAAACATTATGAAGACTTGTACCTTCAAAAAGAGGGCATATTTTCCTCCAACATGTTATTCCACCCTGACTGGTGTACTGGCCCAGAGATGTCTCCAGGAAGAAGAGTGGGATGCCACAGGTGAACAAGAACAAAACATAAGGTATGAAGAAAACCCCTTTAAAATAAAAATGAGATATCGTTGTTAAAGTATTGAAACAATTTCATTCTTTTGAGAACATTCAATAATGATGTTGTGAGAAGACACTTCAGAAATCATAGTAACTTTATAAAAGTACTGACAGAGTTGTAGGATTTTACCGCAGCACTTTAATTTAATTCTGACAAACCAATTATTAACTGAATTTAGTCATAATCCCTTCCAAGGCAGGCTACAACATAATATTTGCACATGATGCACACCTGGCCGGAACAATAAAGATTTACCTCCTCCATTTTTGTAGCAAAGGTAAGGAAACCTCCAGACGTTTCCCAGACCAACAATGTGACCGGCCACTGCCAGGATGAACTCAATCTTGCTGTTCCACTGTTCTCTCTCCCGAGGTTTGGATTGGGTTGGGTCTGGTTTGGTCCCAAGGGTCATCAGATTTAGTTTTAGCTGTGAGTTTTGCGATTGGTCCATTTTAACCTTTTAGTAATCAGGTAATGAATATTAGTAAGAAATTAAGCTGTACTACATTGCAGTAAAAATATTTACATACTAAGGTTTCTCTTTAATAGGCCTACTGTCAGGTTTCACTCAACGTTAATTATTTAGTGAATTGTATATAAACGCCATGTTAAATAATAGACCTTAAACAAGGCGTTAAATAAGCTGCACCCCACTTGCCACAAAATAAATATTCTATTTAAATATATATATATATATATATAAAACAGGCTCTGTGAGGCTGTAGGCGCAGCAGTACAGTTAAAAGCTAACGTGTTACAATGTCAATGCTAATGTGCACATGGTGAACAGATGCTGCTTACAGATTCTACTTTCTAAATAACCGATGCAAAGATTCCCATGAGCTGAACTTTAATCAAGCATAGTATAACATTTGTCAAATCCAAACCTGAAAGATGAAGACTCTACCCTGAGTAACTGAAGTGTTTCCTCTTCTGACTGAAAGAAAATACCAGCCCCTCTCAAAGAATAAGTTGAGTAAAATGGGTTTTCTGTGAGGAGGGGCCACTGAGACTAATCTAACAATTATTTCCTTGGAAACCAATAGAAACCACATTCAGCACACACACACACACACACACAGTGTTGGCTTTATCTGCTTTCCAAGATTAAAAAATAACCACTTGGGGGTGTCTCCGCTACCTTGGGGATACAGACTTACAGCACATGCAACAAGTATGTTTTCCTCTTGTTGTTGTCATAGAGCTGGTTCAACTTAACGCAATTTTTCAGGCATTGTTTAATCTACGAACAACCCAATCTACAAACTGTGTTGATCCAACAATATTAATTAATGGTAATGTATGGTGTTAACGTGTTTGTCTTATTTTAATAATATAATAATATTAAGACTTTCCTTGTATACAAATATACATTTATCCAGTAAAAATGACATTCCACATTGACGTCAACCTGTAACAATCACATGACATGGAATTTAAAAGTTACTAAAACGTACTGTAGATAGCCACTTTAATTCATATACAACTTGTCTTTGTTTATCAAAAAAAAAGAAGCTAAATGGCTTCCAGATTATTCTTTAAATGTTATACAAATATATGTTTGCAAGCATTTAGTCTTGAAGGCTAACTTAAACAGGTTTTTCCCTCTTCACAAAAGTGTCACTTTGCATAACAACAGGAACAAAAGTATTAGAGCAGAGGATAAGACATCTCGCCTTTCCTAGTCTAATTGTTCTCCAACAATTCTCCTAACTAAGAGATGGGGAACTGGACCTGGGAGGTTGTTGCAGCCGGCAAAAGCTGTCAGTGGATCTGGAGGGTCTTTGGTGGATTTTCTGAACAATTTTAGGTAATTTCTGACACACACACATTCAGTCACTTTCAAAAATCTTGCACACAAAAGAGTAAGAGAGAGAGTGAGTGGAGACTGTGACCTGGCCTGGCCTGTACTGCCTCCTTCTGGTGTCTGAAACACCCTAAGGAAGTAAAGTTCAACATTGTTTCTCCAGTTTCCATGATATTTAAAGATACGTGTGCTCAGTTTAGCATTTCAATCTTTCAGTCGTTGCACAGTGGGTCACCTATTTTTCAATTGATAACTCATTAACATTTATTGACATGTTTTTTTAAAACATTGATTTGATCTTATGAGTTCCGCAGTTGTTTAGTTAAGGAGCCATTCAAGGTTTAAAAAACTCTGACTGTCGAAACCCTGACTTCAACCTCAGTCTAATATTTTTTATAAAATGCTAAATCCAAGCCCAATCCAGGGTTTAAGCTCATAACAGTGAGTAAAATGCTTTGACTGAGCATTTTTGCTATAGGCAAGAAGGCAACCAGTGACTGCATCATCCAGACTGCAAATGAGAAAAAAGTTAAAATGATTGAGCTGCAGCCATTGAGCAATCCTGTGGAAAGCCTGTCCAACCTGCTTCAAACTGCTCACCTCTGTCGACTGGTAAGACACTAAAGATGGGTCTGTTGTATCAGATCAGAGAATAACTAATTTTCAGGTCAGGGACTCATGTTGCAAGCAGTTTAAAAAATATGTGCAACATCTTAGTAGCGCATAACATTGCATTAAATTAGACTTTACATTTGAATTTGGCAGTGTTCTCAGCAGTGAGATAAACAGCAAGTGAGTTATTATATTTATTGTATTAGCTCTCATTGAGGAGGTATACTACACACTTTCCTTTTTTATATTTGTGCAGAACTCTTTGTCTCACGCAGTTCTCATTTGCCTACATGTCCCTACAGACTTGAGGGATGACAGCCATTTTTGCGGTCTCAAAGATGTGTTTGAATTATACACCATAAAATATGGCAATGTCAAGTTACTTAGAATTAGTCGACCACATTGCATTGTCTTAAATTTTATTCATCTGAACTTTGTGCTTAACAATTAACGTATTATTCCAAAGGCACCACAGACAAGTAATCCTCCTGGAGCTGGCTCCCAACAAGAGCTTTAATGATCTGTTGATGAAGACCAGACCAGAAACACTTTTGCTGGACAAGATGATAAAGAAGGTCAAGCTGTAAAAATGGAGGAGAACTGCAAACTAAAATGATATATTGCAATTGCCATTCTTGTAATTGTTATTTCATGGTGAAATGTACTTTTTTTGTAAAACTCATAAAAGAAGTTTTTGGAGTTGGCTCTAAAATAATATGCAGGACTGACAATATAGTATAGTATATTGACACATGAAGATTTCAATCAGGAGAGACGGTTTTGATGTAAGAGTACATATTTATTGCCAGAAATACACATGAATGTAAAGCAGTTTTGGCGATTAGGCCCCGTTGTGCAGGAATATCATTCGGGGAAGGGAGAACCGATCCGATGAAATCCCCCGGGGTCTAAACACTAGTGGTGGTGAATGGATAGCTGGGGTCGGTCTGAAGAGGAGTGGCTTAGCTTGACCCTGGATTCCGATGGACGGGAGGTGAAGAGGGGTGGAGGAGGGTTGCGCCGATTCACCTTGAATGAGAGCTGTCAACAACACACTCTCACTCCATAATCGTCCAGGAGCGACGTTTGGTCAGGGTCCCGTGGCGTGCAGTTGTGACGCTCCTAGGCTCCTTCAGCTTCATAAAGGGACGCAAATAGCTTTCAACTGATTGCAAGCATAAGGATGCAATCACAGAAAGCCTACCATTAAAAAAATGCAATGAAATTAAACGGAAGTTACATTTCAAACCTTATATCCAATGTCAAATGTTGCATGTGGCTAGAGAGAGAAGTGACACACAATTAGGAACATTTTATAATTTGCATCTGTGTTTGTTTTTTCATCTGTCAAATGTGTATGACTTTGCATACGCTTTATTCTCATGAGGAAGACTTTCTCGTTTTTCAGTTTGTGTTTTTCCTCTACTCCAATTTCCTTTTTCCAACAAGTTGTTATGCCTGCACAGCAGAAAAGGCCATTTGTCAGTACCTTGCAAAACAACATATCTGACCCAAAAATAGAGAAGAAATGTTGCGGTTGTGGTTAAAAAAAATGCAAAGGGCAGGTAAGGAGAAAACCTTGGTGAAGTTTAAGAAAGCATACTGGATATGAACCACAGTCTGTGGTGTCAGTGTCTGAGAGTTCAAGCTCAACCATACTCCCAAACCTCGACCTTAAAAGAGAGAAACAGATTTTGTGGCTCAAAACCAACAATAAGTTACTTGTCAGGGAAACATGCATACAGTAAACAACTGTAGGACATTTTAAGCACTGGAACAAATGTGTTTCTGTTTCTCTGAATCCTTGACGGGCATTCCTGTGTGTCTTACTTTAACCTGTGAAATAAATAGTAACGTATATATATATATATATATATTGTGGTGACTATTGCCACTCAATATCACCTGGGATTGGCTAAACTGGGTAAACTAATTGGACGCATGCAATTTCAATGTACGACAACGTTTTTAGCTTTCAATATCTTTTATTTACAAAGAAAAACAGTGTTCACAGACACGGTCAAAAAACTATTGCTCTCCCAGTAACATTCAAACACACCTGTGTTAGGAGATCAGTATATGTTGTTGCCTCATTACGCCATCTAGTGTTCAAAATAACAAAAACATATAAACCATTTTAATGGGTGCAACATATACAGTATACATGTATATACATAAATACTAACAAAAGCATAACAAATCAATTACTAATCCAATACTTCATTGTGATATTAGGTGTATACGAACAGCTTTTAAATGCCATGTCCCTATGTTTATTCTTTCATGTAATTTTCTAACTCAGTGTTAGTTTTAATACATAGCCTAACATAACAGTTACCACAAAGTGTACTATGAGCTCTTTCATAGAAAAATGCACTAGTTGTAAAACGAAAAAAAGTTTAGCTTGACTTAATCAGAATCAAACTCATCTTTGTTAGCCAATAATATCTACAGATAAAAGGAATTGTAGTCAAATGTTTTGGTGCTGTCAATGTACGTACAGAAATAAATGATTAAATAGACCTACAGCAAAGAAAAAGTCCAAACAAAGCTGTACAAAAGTAAACCAAAACATTATTTAAATGTCGAATAGGGAAATGTTTGGAATATATGAATAGGTAAAATTAGTTGAATATAAATGTTTGAAAATATAAATTGCAATATGCCTCCATATTTTGTTATTTAAATGATGTAATAGAAAGAAAATTGTGCAATTAAGGTCCATCATCTGTTCATTGGAGTGACAGGCTATGGGGAAAACATATTCTTGTGTATGGTAGTTTTGGCTCAAAGTGACCTTTAGTTAACAATCATTACAAACAATACATACACCAACAACCCATCAGCCTATCGTTACACTTGAAG